CATCACGCTTTCCAACACTTGCTTGACTACTAATTTTTCATCAGACCTCCTTACTCGTTCGGCCAGAAGCATATATCCGTGCTCTGCCAACTCTTGATACCCAACCGCACCTCTTTCGGCCCAACGAAATAAATCTCTCAGAGTGATAAATCCATGTTTTTGCTCGAATATACGAGTTCCCTGACGTCTTCCCGCCAACTGTTTGTATACTTGAACCAGACGCTTACAATAAGAAGGCGCAATTTTGCACCTCTCCGACAAAATAGTTTCCAATTCGTCTTCGGGAATGTCGTCGAAATGTAATTCCACAAATCGATTACGAAATGCACGTGAAAGCACCTTACGACCGGCGTACAATCCCGGTGGATTCTGAGTCGCAAAAAGCATGAAATCGTTATGTGGCTTGATGACCTCCTGAGTCTCCGGAATCAGTAATTCTCTGTTATCGTCCAAAAGTCGATTTAAAGCCTCCAACACGTCCGTGGGTGCCAGATTTAATTCATCCAGAACAAGCCAGTATCCCCTCCTTAAGGATTCGACGAGTATGCCCTCTTGGAATTCTAGTTTTCCCTCGGAGTTTGAAATGTAGGAGCCAATATATTCTTGAAGATCGGTGTGCTCGTGATTATTGATTCTCACAAAACGATGTCCCGTCAGTTTGGCCAGATAATGAACCATACTGGTTTTTCCGGCAGAAGTTGGACCTTGGAGAAGAACGGGGTATCGGTTACTCATAACAACCCTCGAAAGGTTTTCTAAATTTTTTCTTACAGAAGGCGTCAATATATAATGAGGAATTTCTTCCGATGGACGATCACTCATCCTAAGCCAAAAACTTCCGAACTGAAGGTATCTTCCATCCGAGGGTTCCCCAGGGATTTGCCGCAAAAGTGCCGCGGGATTTTTTACGCTACCCAACAAATGTTTTCGTAATAGATCTCGAATAATAATTTCACTTTCTTTATTAAGCTGTGTCACGAAGGTCATGACGAAGCTTTCGTATATGGAACGTCGAAGTCCATAAGTTGGCGCGATGTGAGAGGTAAATGTTAGAGCACGTGTGAGAGTTCTCATACTAAAGTGGGGCGTCTGATTTGAACCATCGGCAAGTTTATGCTGACGTACAAAATCTTTTACCGACATGTAGAATTCAACTATGTCGGCGCAAGCCCGTTCATCACCATGGGTACAACCAGCCAAATATTGTCTCACTATGGCCAGCAAGTCATCGTGATTATTATCCGGTGGATGGACATAGAATTCAGAAAATCGACTTCGCAGTCCAGGGGGTAGATCGCGTTTGCCGACATCAGTTGCCGGATTCATGCATGCAAAGACGCGAAAATTTGGATGGCGAGAAATTGGTTTTGAGTCACCTTTCTCGGTCAACAATAGAGAGCTTTCAGAATCTTGAAGTAAACCACTTATGCACTCTAGCGTTTCCGTCGAAGCCAAATTAATCTCGTCCAAGAGAATCCAATCTCCCTTGCTGACTGCCTTGACCAAGGAACCTTCGACAAATGCAAAAACGAATTTATTTCGCATTTGATCCTGTTGAATTTCGAATTCCTT